GGCTACAGGTGGCTGGCTCCCCTGGACAGGAACAGAGGCCATCAAAGGTGAGCTTCTGTGGTGGGCGAAGCAAAGGGCCAGAGACCAGGAAAAGGAAACATCTGCCCCAGGGGAGGTGGCTCCTGGGCATCAGGTTCCGGCTGAGCAGCAGGAAGTGGGCAAGTGGTGCCAGGGAATCGGGACCAAATGGTGAACAGAGCAGGTTCATGAGTCGTGCCTGTTTCCACGTGAGTTACCTAAGACTTAAGGAGCCCCCGTTTATGAAAGTGGTTCTCATCCTGATTATGATCATTAGTAAACGTATCTGCATGCGAGGCAGCTCCTATTTGTATAAATGAAGGCCAGCAGCCGAGAAGTGGGACCTGCAGGCCAAGCACGAGCCTGCTCTCTGGTCACACATTGGTGTTAACCGGTGTTGGGCTTTCACCGTCTGTATGGGGTGGCTTCCGCAGGCTCTGAGTGTGGTGGGTTCTGTTCCCTGGATTACTTTCAGTTCTGATTCTTAGGGGAGATCTGAGAGGCCTGGGTGATGAAGGGCTTTGCTCGTGGACAGAATTGCCAAGCAGAAGGCCCAGGAGGAACGGGCAGTCGAGGGGCCTCTGGAATTGCTGAGTGTGGGAGCAACGCCAAGCTGACTGGGGCGGAAGGGACAGGAACATGGCTGGAGGAGGCTGGTTGAGGTCTCGTGAGGGCTCCTGGCACCCTGACTCTCATGATGACCCTGGGACCCAAGGCCTCACCGGGTCCGGCAAGGGCATCTGGCTCATGGTCTCTCAGGATGCTGGGCCAGGCTGGCAGAGCAGGGCAACTCTTCCCATGGGCAGAGGTAGGTACCACCTCAGGCCTGTGAAACTCCCTAGGAGGCTTGGAACCAACTGTGCTCAGGAGTGGTGAGCCCTCCCGCAGTGCCCCTTCGGGGGCGAAGCAGTGAGGGAAAGGCTGCGTGAGCCCCTGGGAGCTGAGCTGTGGGCTGAGCGCACGCTGCCCAGACCATGTAGCAGGGAGAGCAGCCAGGGTGTTGTCAAGTTGCAAAGTTCATCAGCTTTCGAGTGGCTGGGCTGTTTTTGTTGTTTTTGTTTTAGTGTTTTATGTGGCAGGTGAGAGAGTAGTGTTTCCTGTGGGTGAAGTGAAACTGCTGAAATCCAGGTGCGGAGGCTACAGGAAATCACTCCCATCGTAGATCACAGGCCGGTCGACCGTCAAGTGGTAAAATACTTTTTTGGAGACAAATCTGAGGAAACAGAGATGGACATGGAGGGTGTTACCCTGAGAGTCGAGAGGCCGAGGCTGCAGGGGCCTGGAGGGTGAGGGTGCCAGTTGGCACAGAGAGCCCTTTGTGGGGACCTCTGCTCAGAGGCCTGGGCTGCACCCCATTTCCTGTCTGGCCAGCTGAGCTCTGTTTCTGCAAAGAATCAGGGGCCCTGGGACATCACCATGAACATCACCATGGACTTTCAGAGTGCTCTACCCAGTTATTCTGCTGAAAACCCAAGTGGATTGGGAAGGGGGCCCAGGGGAGGGGATGTGGCCACCAGCTTGGGCACCACACAGAAGAGACGTGGCTGTGTGCTGATCAGGCAGGTCTCCTAAGAGGCAGCCCCAATTAAGGGCTTATGCTGGAGCCAGAAGACATCAAAGGGATAAGTGGCCATAACCATAGCTCCCCTGTCTCATGTCTCCACGAGCCCTGGCGTATGGGCGATGCTCATCAATGCCGGTCCTCTCCCACGTCCTTCCTTGGCTGCCCTTCAAGCCGTATCTCCCTACATTGCCATCTCGCCCCCCAACCCCTCCACTCCTGGACCTGGACCTGCTGCTTTGATACAGGGCTTTCCAGAGGCAGCACACGAAGCCCCTGCTCCCTGACAAGCAGGCCAGGGACTTCGCCTCACAGTTCTATCCTGTTTATCCCTAGCTTTAGCTGTCATTCTTTTATTCCTCTCTCTTTCAACAATCTGTCACTTCACCCACCCACCCACTGGATCCTTCCACTGTATTTACTGAGCCTTTCTGTGGCCTGGACATGGGGAACCTGGACATCGGAGAGGCAGGAGAGCAAGCCGGTTGAGTCCAGAGTCTGGAGCTGGCCAGCTGTGTTCAATTCTGGCTCCATCACCAGCTGTGTGACTTGGGAATGTCACTCATTTCCCCCTGGTTCTCAGCCCTTAGCAATAACATTAGGAGAGAGATGGTCCCTACTACCTGGGGATGCTGTGGGGCAGAAGTGAGTCCGTAAGTGTGGGGGGGCTGAGAACACACCTGGCATGTAGTAAGGCTGTAAATATCAGCTTGTGTGTTTATAAAACTGGTAACGCATTGGAACACTGTAGTATAGGGGTCTAAAATCAAAGAACTCTTAATAATAAAAGAATGATAATTAATTAATCTATTTTCAATGTCCACCTCTGTTCTTGAGACCAGGTGGCAGGTGGGTGGTCCAGATGCTGATGCATGAGGAGGCCCCTACCTGGAGAAGGAGTTGTCGAAGATGAGCATGTAGATGCCTGGTGTGCGGACCTTGAGCTGGCCCTGGATGTTCTCCTTGTGGGAATTGCATCGGGTGATGGGAATGAGGACCTGGGAGAAAAAGCAGGTAAGGAAAACCATCAGAGGCTGAAAGGGCCCCATGGACCCACTGGGAAGACCCTTTATTTGGGGCAGGAAACTTGAGTGCCCTGTCTGAGGTCAGAGATGAGCTGGGATCAGCACCTAGGGGTAGTGGGGTGCCTTCCACACGCCATGGTTTGGTGATAACTTGTCGCAGGGGTAGGTATGAGTTTCATTCAGATCATGAACTGATCAACACCCCAAAGGAGTAGACCCAGCCTCCTCTGACCATGGCCAGTGCCGGAACGCCCACCATCTGCAGAAGCAGCCCATTTCTGGCTTTAGGAAGCTGGGGCTCATTCTAGATGAAATCTGTCTGCCTGGCTGTTTCCTGCTGGTCCCAGTTTCATACAAAGCAGCAGTTTTCAAGATACTGGACATAGGCAATGAAGGTCAAGGATCTCTGAGAGAACAAGACAAACCTTAGCTCACTGCTAAGGAAACAACCACCAGACAGGACAAACAGAAAACAAACAGGAAGATGTATATGCAAACCTAATCTCATCAGTAATCACATTAAATGTAAATAGTCTAAACATCCAAATTAAAAGGCAGAGATGATCAGGTTGGATGAAAGCAAGACCCAACCCCATCACACCTATAAGAAATGCTATTTAAATGTAACTATACAAATAAGTTAAAAGTACAAGGATGTAAAAAGATGTACCATGCTACACTAGTCAAAAGAAAACTGGATTGACTATATTAATACAATTATAGTTGGATATTTCAATATCTCTCAATAATTGAGGGGATAAGTAGACAGGAACTCAATAAGAAAATAGGTCCTGGCCAGTGTGGCTCAGTGGGTTGGAGCAATGTCCTGAACACTGAAAGGTTGAGGGTTAGATCCCTGGTCGGGCCTGTATGGGAGGCAGCCGATCAATGTTTCTCTCTCTCAATGATGTCTCTCCTTACCCCTCTCTCTAAAAATCAATAAAAAATGCAAACTTAAAAAAAAGAAAGGAAATAGAAGACTTGCACAACACTATCAACAATTTGACCTAATTGATAATTATAGAACACGCCACCCAACAACAGCAGAATACACATTCTTTCCAAGTGCACTTGGAACATTCACCAGGTATGAGGCTGCTGGTGGTGAGGGAGTAGCATGGGCCCAAGACAAGCCTGGAGGGGACAGAGATACATGAGGACCTACTATGTGTGGGCTCTGAGGCAGCTACTTCTGCACATTATCTCGTTAAGTTTCATTCATGTTCGATAATATTCTAATTCCACTGGGGTCTGAGGTCCCCGGGGAGCCGAGTGGTTGGGGTGGTTAGGTCATGGATGGGGTCCATGACCTAAAACTTCTGAGCCTGGCCTGAGACCTCCTGCAAGCACAGGTAGGAAGGAGCTGCTGGGCAGAAAGCCTGCCCTTTCTACAGGGTCACCTGTGCGCCCTGCATCTCCTACCTACAGTCACAGCCTTGAGGACAAAGCAACAACCAAGGGCTCGATAAGGCAGGTCCTCTAAAGAGGATACATTTAAAACAAGACTCATTACTTTAAATAAATACATCAAGACATCTAGGGGAGATTCATAACTGCTCTGGTGTCAGAGCTCATGCAGTTGAGGTGCCGGGACGACAATGGCATAAACCGGAGACAGGGCTCCGCGGTGATGTCTGAGGACACCTCCTTGGCCTCCATGCCTGAGTGGCCATGCCCTGGTGTAGGTGATGTGTCTGTAAAACAGTCCACGTTGGTTTAACTGATCTTTCTATGGGCTCCGGTGTCGTGGGGTCCCGGTTTAAAGCGAGGTTCTATGCTAAATGGAAAAAGCCAGTTAAAAAGGCCACCTACTGCCTGATTCCATTCACATGAAATGTCCAGCATAGGCAAGTCGGTAGTGAGAGTGAGCTGGTGGCTGCTGGGTGGAGGTTAGAGGGGACTGCTAGTGGGTCCATATTTTGGGGGGATGTGATGAAAATGATATGAGAGTAGACAGTGGTGGTAGTTGCAAAACTCGGTGAATAAACTTAAAAACAAAACAAAACCCCAATGACTTGTACATATTAAATGGTGAGTGATATCTCCATAAAGCTATTTGAAAAGTAAGACGTTAGCCTGACTGGCATGGCTCAGTGGTTGAGCATCGACCTATGAACCAGGAGATCACAGTTCAATTCCCAGTCAGGACACATGCCCGGATTGCAGGCTCAGTCCCCAGTGTGTGTGTGTGGGGTGGTGCAGGAAGCAGGCAATCAATGTTTCTCTCTCATCATTGATGTTTCTATCTCTCCTTCTCCCTTCCTCTTAAATCAATAAAAATATATATATTTTTAAAAAGTAAGAATTTAAAGGTCCTGTTCCCAGTCCCGGTTCCTCCCCTGACTCCCTCTGTGGCCCTAGGTGGCCATCGAGCTTCTCTGGCCAAGCCTGGGTCCTCACAAGGGTAGCCTTGAGTTCCTGGTGTACTGTTTCTTTAACAAGTGCCTTCCCAAATTCAGACTCTAAGCTCGGTGTCCAGGCATGGAGGAAGTCACCCGGGAGAGGGTGTGGCAAGGTAGGGGGGTGTCTCTGACCGGTGCCACCAGAGACGGGGCCAGCCTTCTGCTGTGCTGCTCCTGCCTGGACACTTCTCTAACCCATGGCCCCATATGCTTCCTTGTTTTGGCCCAGGGTCTCCTGCCCGAATCACTGGCCCCCAGGCTGGGTTAGGTGCCCACAGTGCCCACTCCCTCTGATTATGACACTCACCCCGTGAATCATGGCTCCCTTTTCACTAGGGGCTCTGGTTCTATTGTGAGCTCTTCAAGGGCAGATCCCATGGGCCCCACAGAATCCAGTACAGAGCAGAAGCTCAATAAATGGTTGTGAACAGGTTGCAAGCATGAGCATACTTCCTGTGCCTGCACCTCCACAATCACACTGCACCCGTTGTTTCTTGTAAGACCCAGGCTGTCAGGGGGCCACACAGGGGGGTCCCCAAGACAGATGCTGAGGACGTGTGCCGGATCTTCCCCAGGGTGACATCTGTTTGTTTGGGGACCTCAGGCAGAAATAACCACCTCCACCTACAGATGGCTGGGGACAGTGGGCCTGTGAAGGCAGAGGAGCAACGGAGCACTCAGCTCACTCCCCCCGGAGATGGGCTTCTTCTGCCCCCTGGCGTCCACTGTGGGAAAGACAATAGTGGTCATAACCCAGGAAGGCACCCGGAAGCCAGAGAGGAGGAGTGATTCCTGGTATGAACCACATAGGTATGGCAGGTGAGTGACTGGGAAGGGGAGACCCAGGGCTCAGGCACATGTGGGCAGATGGAATGGCAAAGGTCTGGACATCTGATTTAGTCACCTCCTCCCTCCCGGCCACAAACACCCACAGTGTTAATCTGGGTGGTTGCAGTGCTAGGCGCTTGGTGGGCCTGGGGACCGGGAGGGTGAACAGCAAAGGTGCTGGTATAAGCTCCTGGCTGTGCGGTAGGGTCAGGGCGGAGCTGGTAAGTGCATCGCTATCACTGCTGCTCAAAACAACCACACAGGCAAGTCACTACGCACCTCAGCTTGCTTATCTGCAAACCGAAGACCTGTCCCCAGAGTGAGACTCCACCCTCCGGGTGCCCAGTCGGCAGGTGACCCTGGGTCTACTCTCAGAGCACAGGCTCCAGGACTCCGGGCTGGGGCATCACCTCTCAGGAAGGAAGTGCCCCAAAGCCAGGTAGGTGGCATGGCTGTCAGCCCCCAAAATGATGAGAGGGCAGAGCAGTGTTCAGATAAGAATGAACGAGACTGCCTTCAGCTCGGGGGCCTTCCCACCCCTACCCCGAGCCCCCCAGGGCACCCCAAATTGCTCTTCTCTATCCTGTTTCTTGCAATTTTGGAAAATGGAGATTTGGAAACCATATTAAGGCCTGGGATCCACCCCAGCTTCCGTCCAGCATGGGTGACTGTCCTCACCATTCCCTCCACTCAGTGATTCGAACGGAACTGGGATTTTTACCCAAACCAGCTCTCATCCATTGTCCCCTGCACCCTCTTCCTGCAGAGGAACAAGCATGGATTCTGACCTTCTTCCTCACCCCACATTCAATCGCCACCACGGGTCCTGTTCACCTGCTCGTGTCCCAAATTCCACCCCACCCTCTGCACTCTGACTTCCTCCCCCTTGATCCAGCCCCGTAGCCCTCAACCTGGCCGCTCACTGCAATCACTAGGGATGTCTGTGCCCCTGCCACACGAGGCCCTCACTTTGTGGTCTGGGGAGTGGCCTTGGCGGAGGGTTTAAAGACGCTCCCCAGGTGTTTCTAACGTGAGGCCCCGGTTGAGAACTGTGGTCCAGACCACTGTCAATACTGCAAGCTGAGGCTGTCTCAGGAGCGTATGAACTGGTATCTGGCGTGAAGATTTCAAGCCCAACCAACCCAAGTGACAGTGGCAGTTTTGTGGTGAGATGTAGGGATCTCGGGAGATGGTGATCTCTCACAGTGATACTTCTTGCTCTGCACGACTCTGTTAAAAAATAATCCTTACATTGAGCCATCCGTCCGCATTCCTCAACGTTTCAACTACTGATCTATCTGAAGGCCAGACTGAAGCTGTCTGACAAAGGAGTGACCACTCTCCTGAGCTTCAGGTCTCTGCTTCCCTAAGCTGGACAAGCCCAGGCGCCGTGCCTGCTCTGTGATGCAGCCAGACGGCTCTCCCACCCTGGTTTCTCTCCGTGTCCCTCTCACAGCTGGGGCCCGGAACATTTCAAGAAACGCCTGCCCAGCAGAAGGCAGGACGGCCGTGGCCCTGCTGTAGGGAGGGCCTGGCCAGGCGTCCTGATGTGAGCCCGCGCCCGCTGGCAGGGAGCTGGCCTCCTTACCTTGCACTGATCCAGCGGAGTGTCCTCTGCTTCCCTGAAGACCACGCTGAAGGAGATACTCTTGGGGTCGGAGGAGAAGACCCAGCTGATGGTGAGGCCGGTCTCGGCCACGGTGATGGAGATGAAGCTGTAGGTACTGGACCTCACAAACAGCTCCCTGTTACCCTCCCCAAAGTTGGCAATCTCATCCACTGTGAAGGGCAATTTTACCCTAAAAAAACAAATGCAGAGAGGGACCTGATCAACATGGGTAAACTGATTTAATGGTAATAAACTCCTTCAGCATTTTCTTGTCTGGGAAGCTATTTATTTCTCCTCCAATGTTAAATGATTGCCTTGCTGGGTAACATAGTCTTGGTTGTAGATCCTTGATTTTTATCACTTTGACTATTTCATACCAATTCCTTCTGGCTTGAAATGTTTCTGTTGAGAAATCAACTGACAATCCTATGGGAGCTCCCTTATAGGTAACTAACTGCCTTTCTCTTGCAGCTTTTAATATTCTCTCTTTGTCTCTTATCTTTGCCATTTTAATTATGATGTATCTTAGTGTGGGCCTCTTTGGATTCATCTTGTTTGGGACTCTCTACACTTCCTGGACTTATGTTTCGTTTACCTTCTCCAGATTAGGGAAGTTTTCACTTATTATTTTTTCAAGTAGGTTTCTCAAACCCTTGTTCTTTCACTTTTCCTTCAGGTACCCCTATGATGCAGATGTTATTATATTTCATGTTGTACCAAAATTTCCTTAAAGTATCCTCATTTTTATTTTTAAAATTCTTTTCTTTTTGCTGCACTGATTGGATATTTTCTGCTACCTTGTCTTCCAAATTGCTGATTCAAACCTCTACTTCATCTAACTGACTCTTTCTTTCTTTCTTTTTAAAAAAAATATATTTTATTGATTTTTTACAGAGAGGAAGGAAGAGGGATAGAGAGTTAGAAACATCGATGGGAGAGTAACATCGATCGGCTGCCTCCTACACACCTCCCACTGGGAATGTGTCCACAACCAAGGTACATGCCCTTGACTGGAATCAAACCTGGGACCTATCAGTCTGCAGGCCGACGCTCTATCCACTGAGCCAAACCGGTTAGGGCTGACTGTTTATTTCTTATACTATATTTCATCCGCCATTTGGTGTTTCGTCGGAAAAGAAAAAACTGTATTAATCATTTCTGACTGGTTCTTTTTTATGGTTTCTACGTCCTTTCTTATGCTGTTGAAGTTCTCACTAAGTTTCTCGAACACCTTTTTTTAAAAAAAACAAATTCACATTTTATTTACGTCAAAATAAACTGTACAAAATTGACTTTCTTCACCAAAAATAATAGCAATATTTTGTGTTATTCCTAGATAAATGACAAAACACATTTTTTGTAGGTTTTCTAGGTTTTGCTTATAAATCAAGACAAGGCAGTAGATACAGTCATGGAAAAAGACAGGATAAAACAGACCAATCTGTTGTCAGTACCCATGACCTCTGATCCTGCCTTGACCATGAAACAGAAGTGTTTGACATATACTTGCTAAAAAGCTTATGAAGATATAGGCTCAACAAAGGAATGTATACAGCAACACCCAGATGTAGAACAATGGCAGGTTCTTCCTTCAATGTTTAACAGTAACTTGTTCCTTTAAGATCATTGAATAAAGACAAAATCTACACTGAAATCCTTGTTTGGCAAGCTCACGTTTCTTTCACTATCTGGCAATTCCCTTAACTGTCCATTACAGATTTCTAATAGCATTCTTAAAACTCCTGCTATTCAAAGACTAGTCATGCGCTTCATAGTAAAGTTTTATGAAACACATTCCTCCCACACCTCCTCAAAATTTATTTCTTCGAAGAACTGATAATGTTACGTCTAAAATGACGTTAGCAGAGATCACGTAGAAGTGCAGCGTGGCCCTTTCAATGCCACCCTCGGGAAGAGTTAGTTCTCCAAGCATGAGTGTTCACATGGCCATTTAAACCGTCAGATCACCAATGGCTAATGCACTCAAGATATCCAGTGATTAAGTGGCCTACATATACCTTATAGCTTTTCTATGTTTTCAAATTTCTTAGATTTTTTTCAATATCCAATATAAGAGAAAACCTATTTCAATAGCCCCTCAGGTATTTTTGATAGTTTTGGAATTATCTGTAGGAAGCTCTGAATTAGTTGTATAGAATTTGATATATGTGTCCATCATTAAATCCAAATCATGTTTTATATCAAAGTTTATGTTAAGCAAAGCTAAGTAACTGGACCTTTGGTTTGTCAAAGGGTTCCTCAGGTGCGCTTTGAGACGCTTTTGCCCATTTTCATAGCCTTGATTCTCAACCTTCATCACAGGGAGAATACACGGGACCTTCAGCGGTGCATAAACTCTAGGGAAATAACAGATGTCTGGCAGGTGGAGGGCTTCATAAATGGTGGGTGGAGGCTCTCTATCTTCTCCTCTGTGTTCCCATTTTGCCAACCACATATTTAAGGCACAGAAGAGCAGAGTGTGTAGATAGCCTGGGAATATTTCTCCAAAGGTCTAGAAGCAACAACTTTCATCTTGGCAAGAAAATCCACTAGACACAATGTAAGCCTGGCCACGACAATATTCCATGTTGAACCCCTACTTCTCAGTTATCATGGTGTGAAATTTCATAGCCAAAATTTCAGTATCAGCTTCATAAGGCAGGAAACCCACAAATTCCTCTCTCAGGATATGAGTTTCATCAACAAACCTCACCAACACGGGCAGGTGCTCTTCCCCTGCTATGTCCACTACGTCATCAGTGATAATCGAAAAGTGCGAGTCTCTCCCTTCCCCGAGTGTTTCTTCCCGCACGCAGCTCTCACAGATCTCTAGCACTGCTTCTGCTGTACTTTTGAACAGAACAGGGTGTGGACTGCTGTTGTCCCAAAGCGCTTTCTCAGAACCTCGTCCCCAGAACTTATCCGGCACTCCAACAGTGCCTGAAAGTTATCCGGAGTAAAGAGACCTTCTGCGATTTCATCAGCTTCATGTCCATAGCGGTATGTTTTGTTTTCCCATAAGAATCAAAATCTCAAATAAAGATTTTAAGGATTCTGAGTTTTCCTTCTCTTCAAGGGTTAAAGGTAAAATGTCTTCATCCTGTTCTCCACCCTCTTCTGCACTGGAGTTCTGAGCATTGCTGTTGTAGATTTATGTTTTTGTTCCGGTTCAGAAGTTTTGTCAACATCACAGGTTTTAAAATCTCCAACAACAATATGAATGTAGTTCCTCAAACCTGGCACCCTGTTTCAAGCCACTCTACTTCTACACACAATATCCTTACCTCTTTTTTTTTGCCGGAGTCCATGCCTCCTTATTATTTTTCTGTTTCAGTGTCCTGATTTCATCTTCACGCAATTCTTTTATTTGTTTTCTGTGTCTACTATGGGGATTGTTCAAATGACTGGCAAGATCAAATATTGTTGGTATTGCACTGTCTTGAAGAACTGTCCTGTAAGGACTAGTTCTACAGATCACAGAAGTCTCAAAGTGTCTGGCACATAATCGATAATGTTTATTTAGTTGATGAGGTGTTTTATCTTCTAAGTCTGCTCTTCTACAATTTTCCACCCACTCCTGGCATCTGGCCGGATCCCTCGGGAACCTGAAGAAGGCCCAATCTGACTGCGTGCTCTTCAGTGTGCAGTTGGGGACTGCGCAGAAGCTCGGCATCATCGCCCGCCCATAGGCCGGCCCAGCGCTCCCCTCTGCCTCCTCCAGGAAGGGGAGCCTGGCCAGCTGGCTGGGCAAGACAGGTGCCTCTTGAGCATCTTTATAACCATTGTTTTGTACTCTGTATCTGGTAGACTGTTTGCTTCCATTTCATTCGGGGTTTTTTTCTGGATATTTCTCCTGTCCTTTCATTTGGGGCATGTTTCTTTGTCTCCCCATTTTGGCTACCTCTTAGTGTTTGTCTTCGTGTATTAGGTAGATCTGCTAGGTCTCCCAGTCTTCATGGGGTGTCTTACGTAGTAGGTGTGACCCAGTGGCACCGTCTCCTTGACCACTAGAGCTGGGTGCTCCAGGAATGTCCCTGTGTGGGTTATAGGAGCCCTCCTATTGTAACTGAGTCTTAATTCTGATTTGCCTGTTCAAGTGTGGGGCTGACCCTCAGGCTGGCTACCTGAGGACTGACCCCGATCACAGTGTACAAGCTGCTGTGCAGGAGTTGACCACATGAAGCAGAATTCACCTCAGCAGGGTCTGGTGCCCCTTGGGAAGGTAACTGGATCCTGCTCTGGAGTTGTTCGATGCTTGCCACTAGTTGGTTCTGGTGGCTCATGGGAGGGACTCTGGTGCAGGTCAATGCCAGATGCTGCCTGTGACCTGCCCTAGGAAACCTGTTTGGAGTTTTAAAACAACCCACAGCTTGTGGCTGCCTCTGCAGCGCCTGGGCGTGTGTAGGACCAAGTTGTGCACCAAGGCTGGCATTCAGGAGCACTGAGCCTGGGGGCAGGTCAGTAAAAGGTACAAGGCACTCTGAGATTTGCCTCTGCCTTCTGGCTGCCTGTTAGGCTCAGTCACCGAGAGGGCCTCCGGCAGTACTCAGGTTGGATGATGTAGGTTCTTAGTGAGTCACCAGGGAGGAGGGGTGAGTGGTGTTTATCACCGATACAGGCTCAAACTCAGGGTCAGTGCTGGATCTGAGGCCACTCACCGAAGTCCCGGGGTATGCTAAGGCTAGCCGCCAGCTGCTGGGTGCCTGCAGACCTTCGTGGTGGAGCAGGGTTTCAGGGAGTCGTCAGGGGGAGGCAGCTGAGTTTATCAGGCACAAACAGACTAAGACTTGGCTGTGTGAAGGGCTCTGCACTGCTTGGGCGTGTGAGGGGAAAAAGTGACACCGTCTTAGAGCCACATAACCCTGTCTGTCCCAGATTCTGCCTCCTCTGTGAGAGGGAGGCAATGGTCAGTCTTGGGGGAAGGTAAGGGGTGTGGCCCCCACCCCAGAGCCACACAACTCAGTCACTAACACCCCCTGAACCTGTCTGGACCTCTACACTCGGGGCCCAAGCAGCTGCCTCCTCTGCAGGACGTGACCTGTGCTGTGTCGGACAACAGGGAGCCTGGAGGGTGGGACTCTTGGCATTTCCCCCAGGCTGATGCTGGACGGAGCAGAGTGCTCCACCCAAGAAAGATAGCATCTACAATATAAGAGAGAAACTTAGGGCAAGGACCCTGGTGGCCATTCCTTCAGCTCTCTCCATGGAGCCACAAACCTGTCTCTCCTCACAGAACTCTAGTCCCTCCGCCCTCCCTCCTTTGGAGCCCTGGGTGAGTATCTGCCAACGAGATTTTGTGCTGGATCTTAAAGGGGGCACCTAGTTTCCAGCAGGAAACCAAGGAGGACAGAATCTGGATTTTCAGAGCCAGATGCTATGTGGGGCCTCTTTCCCGGCTCTGGTCCTCTGGGCTGGGGAGCCGGGGGTAGGGTTGAGACCGCTCGTCTCAGGGGTGGAAACGAAAACTAAAGCTCAGAGAGGTTAGGTAACTTGTCCAAGACGGAGCAGCAAGTGGGGAGCAGAGCTGGGTGGGCTCTGAGGTCCCTGAGATCGTATGAGCTGCTGGCCGAGCTGAGTGTGGGCTGGGCAGGATGACTGGTGACTATTACACTGTATTATTTGTCAAAGGCCAAGCATTACACACTCTAAAGGGGGACTTACTGTATATAAATTATACCTAAAAAAGCACAACCTCCGGTGCCCAGTCAGCCTGCGGGTGCTTTCCAGCTCCGGCACTGGGCAGTCAGTTCCTCTGCCCCGAACCCACTGCCCTGGGAGGCCCCGCTTGGGGATGGGCACTTACATCAGCTCCCCGGACTTCAGCAAGCAGATTTCCGTGTCCTGCCCCAGGGCCATGTCTTCGGGGTCCTCAGGGGTTAGTGAGCTCGATGCGGTGTCCCTGAAATGTGATGAGAGTACAGCCATTTAGCTATCAGCACACAGGGGCCCACAGCCTGAGGCCTCAGCTGGAGTCATGTAGCCAATATCAGGCCCCATGGAAACCCTTCAATCGGAGGTCGTGAGACAGGCCCGCATACCCTGTGGGCAGAGGGCACTGGGTGGGTGAGGACAAGAGGGCTGCAGTGATCTCCCTAACGTCTTCCTCGCGGGTGTGGGGACGGGATGACCATACACACATGGACCACCCCCCATCCCACACCAGCTGAGTTACAGAGAGGCTCTGAGCTCTTGGCTTCCTTTGGGCAGCCTGGATATCATGCCTGCTTGCCACCAGAGCTCCCACTGCCCGACCTTGCTCCTGTCTGCCTACTGCTGGAGTGCTGAGGCCGCGGGATGAGGGAATCTGCTCTCGGGGTGCAACTACGTGGGGGTGGCGAGGGCTGGCACTGGGGGCTCCCAGGGGTGTCTATGTCACCAGACACCCACGAGTACCCAGGTGCCCGGCTGGGGCTGTCTCTGAACAGCTCACACCAGCCCATGACCAGCGGGACAGTCAGCCTCCCACTGGAACCCACTGTGGCTCAGGGCAGAAGTAGCATAGCTCGGGGTGGAGTGTTGGGAATCACTTCAAGGCAGTTCCGGTCCTGGCTTTGCGAGTAACTGCGTGACTCTGGCTAAGTCCTTTCACCTGCTGCCACCAAAACAAGCCTTGTCATTCACCATTCCGCTTCCCCCAGGCCCTGCCCCACCTCTGCCCTCCTCCCTTCTTGTTGCTCTTCTAACCAGGGCTTCCCAATCCCCCACCTCTGACCCTGGGACAAACAGAATCACAGAATGTCCCTGCAAGAAGCAGCTCAAGAGACAGGGGTCCAGGGGAGAAGAGATGGGCCCAAGGCCACGCAGGCCGACCTCATTTCATTTGCTTTTATCCTTGTCCAAAGTGGAAACACCGTAAACGAGAAAGATCTATAACATGATGAAACAAACCCTGAAAACTGCAGAGGGTTCTCTCCATCTTCCTACATTTAGGACAAAAGATGTCCTTACCTATTGTTCCCTCTCTTTCTGCGTCTCCCCTCTCTCTGACCATCATGACGACAGACAACTCCCAGCAACCTGCAAGGAGATGATTCCCAGAGTAGGTGCCTCAGACCCTCACTGGTCCTGCCTGAGGCCCCGCGAGAGGGAGTTGGGGTGGGGTGGGGGTGGGGGTGGAGAGAATGCCTGGGTGGGCGATGAAGTTGGGAAGGTAGTGAGTAGTTTTCAATAGATTTTCAAACTGTGGGTCACGACCCACATAGTAGGTTGTGAGTAAGTTATGGCCAACATTAGGAAAACAGACTGGAAATGACCAATGCATGTGGGGAGGAGGGTTCAATATCGTTTTATGAGGCTCTTGTTCTGATTTGGAGTCTACACATGTCCACACCCAGGTGGTCAGGTAACATGTACTCTCACTGTGGGATGTAGTAGAAAATGTCCAAGCACCTGTGTTAGAAGATGCCCAAGGATTAACAAATGTGAGAATGACAGGGAACAAAAGCACAGCCACCAGGGGGCAGCCTATCCCCACCCAGGCCCACTTCTTTCTGTTGTCATTGATGTGCTTTTCTAAAAGGAGCGAGACAAACTCACTGCCCACAAGTGACCTTCCTCCCGCCAGGCGCAGCCCTGGGAGCTTAGCGCTAGCCACAGCAGCCTCGTGGGGAAGACGGCATGCCACACATCCCCGAGCCTCCGGCCAGTCCAGCTGGACCTGTCTTCACGCACAGGCATCTACGTCAACTTGCTCCATCCCCTGAGGCGCTCATCTAGACATCCCTGGGCACGTGCCCTGCACACAGCCTGTGCCCAGTAAGTGTCCAGGTTAGGTGCCTCAGGCTAAGGCAGTTTTCTGTCTCAAATGCCCCCAAGGGAGGACACGACCAATTTACTTATTTATTTTTAAATATATTTTTATTAATTTCAGAGGAAGGGAGGGAGAGATAGAAACATCAATGATCAGAATCACTGGTTGGCTGCCTCCTACATGCCCCACACTAGGATCAAGCCTGCAACCTGGGAATATGCCTTGACCGGGAATCGAAGTATGACCTCCTGGTTCATAGATCAACACTCAACCCCTGAGCCATACCAGCCGGGCAAGGCTCCAAGTTAGAACCAAGTAAGAAAGTGGCGATCACAGACGAGGTGGATGCTGAGAAGTCCCCGGCAATGCAGTCCAGGGGTTCATGCGGCCTGGAGGAGGGATCCCGGGTGGGGTCCTCCAGCTTGGTTTCTGCAACTGCAGTCTCTAGTATTTTCCTCCCACAGATCAAAATGCCTTGGCTCTGTTTTACTGAATTGCTGTATGTCAATTTTGCAGACCGCTGGATAGCAGATGGCCCGCTCGTTTGGATGGGCTGGGCAGGAAAGGATGCCTGCAAGACCCCTATGGCCCAAGGGTCTGGTTGACCATCTTCCTCAGGGACTCCATCTCCAGCTCTGGCCGAGCCCAGCAGTTAGGAGTGGTGCTCTGACCGATGAGAGGCCTGCGGTCCCCCAGGGCAGCCAGCATCTGTGAGCAGGGCCCTGTGAGCGGCAGAGGTCTCTGGTTTACAATCGCACTGTCCAACAGATAGCCACTAGCTATGGCTATTGAAACTCAAATTCACCAAATTATTTTAAAGCTACAAAATGTGACTCTTTAGTTGCACTAGCCACACAGCAGGTGCTGAGCAGCCACACGGGCTAGAGGCCACTGTGCGGGACAGCACAGATCCAGGGTGTGCCCGTCACTGCAGGAGACTCTAGTGAACAGCCCGGTTTGCAAGGTTGGGGTGAGTCATTTTGTGGATTGGGGTATTTTATTTTACGATTAAAGTAAATTCCTAGTAGTTGTTGTTTTAGTCATTGATTTCCTTTTGCTTAAAAACCAAGCGAAGAACAGTTCTGGTATTTTGATTTCTGATTACTTGGTAACTATGGTCTGACACAAGAGACAAACCTGCAGGCCCACTCTCACAACCAACAGCTGGGGGCGACGCTGCGCAGGCCACACCCAACTCCCTCCCACACCTCCCTAGCCCTTTGGTGCCCTTTGGTTAGGCTACCGTTGTTAGGATCTTTTAACTTACCCTCCACAGCCCTGTCACCCACCAAAGTCTTGCAAGCAGCCTCTTCTGCCAGCAGCTGTGACAGCCTCAGCCCGGGTCATGACATCCTAACTAGAGTTCTGACTCGAGAGTGCCAGGCGCTGAGGAAGAGCGAGCAGGTCAGCGCAGCATGACTTCCCCGATAAGTGTGCGGCAGGCGGCTGCCATGCCCCCTCCCCGGTTCTCCCCTCACCTACTTAGAAAATGTTGCAGTACGCCAGTGGGAAGCCAAGGCATATGACTGGCTACTTCCCCTTAAGCAGCTTAGTTTTGTTTCCAAGAAAAGGAATGCCCTTGAAACAAGCAACACTGCAAACAGGCAGATCACAAAAGGCACCTGTGGAGGGCAGCAGGTCGAGACCTGGTTTGCCCCATGGGGCACAAGTGATTACTAAGTGAGAAGAGCACGGCCAAGTGTGTGCGAGACAAGGCTCAGGTCCTTCCAACTCCGGCTCTTGAACTCGCCCTAAATGACATGGCTGGCTTATCCCATGTCAGACCCACATTCACCTAGAAGCCATCTGGTTCATTGGCCTGGCAGTGACGGAGCTGGGTTTGTAGCCTGGAAATGCCAGTTACTAGCTGTGTGCACATGGGACTAATTCCACTCTGGCCCTGGGTGTTCTCATCCATTAAATGGGGTAACAGTTCTGCAGGATTGAGAATCCATGGCTATCTCGTTGGAGCTGCACGCATACACAGAACGAGACCAGAGCATGCACTCTGCATTGGTCCAGACCCAAACTATTCCAAAGAGGCGCATGACTCGTGAATGAAAGAATTTTAAGATTCGAATGCCATCGGTTTACAAAGAAAAGCCCCCTCAGGTCCCAGCGGGCGAGTCGGTCGCCAGCCCGGGGGCAGAGGGGTCTCAGTGACGGAGCCACAGCTTCCTATCTTTGACCCCAAATTACATGGGTGCAGGCTGGTCATGTGGATTCTGATCTGCTAGAAGGGTTGGGCCTCTTCCAATCAGCAACCGAGGGTTCTTCAAAACTACTCAGCGGAAACATGGACCACATCACAGAGAGGCAGAGGTAGAGCCTGCTGCTGAGCACAGCTCATCTCTGGAGCAAACTGAACAGGCATCTTGGTGGGTGAGTCATTTGTCTTCCTCTCTATAGGTAAGAGCCAGGGCTCTCTGATTCCTGCCTGGAGCAGCCGCCCTGAAATGCCCAGGCTTCAGCGCGCAGCTGCTCCAGGTTCCGATTCCATCTCTGCTGCTTGCTGCCGAGGGTTAGAGAAATGACTTTGGGTCCTGGGCACTGGGCGTGCTTGGAAGCGAATGGTCCGGGGGAGCAAGGGCAGAGTCTGACCCTCCCGGGAGATGAGGAGATTCACTGTCTATGTCTGTTCACTGAATAGCCTTTGTTTTTGTTTCTTTTGCATTTAGTAAGACAGGCTCCTATCTCGGAATATGGTTCATCACTATAGACCTTTTGGAAAATATAAGGGAAATAAGTCTGCACCAACTGGAGCGAACTGCTGATAAAATCTGGTCATGTTTCTGTTTTTAAAAAAATATAGTCGAAACCCTATAGCTTACCGTGGATTCTTAGGCCAGGGTGGCCGGGTAGGTGGCAGAGTGTCAAAGGGCTCACGGACCCCAGGAGTGCAAGCGTGTGTACGTATTTCTGAGGAAAAGGTCTGCGGTCTCGATGAGATTCTCAAAGGGGTTTATGATCAAAGGTTAAGAGCCATGATCAACTCTATAACCCTGTCACCTACTCACTGCAGTAGTAACAGCCAAAACTAAGTTTGTGCTTGTACTCTTCTGAGCTATTCAAATGCGTTACCATTTTAAAAATGTTAAAAGCACTAAACATTAGTTATATTCTATTTTGTCTGAATTATAATTAGCTAT